AAAGGGAGGGCTGACCCGTGGAATGGTGGGCACGAGGGCCACCATCGACTCAATGCGAAAACGAGGAGCGGAGCAACTTGGGTGTAACTTGGCGAAGTACCCAAGCCGCATGAAGGGAGCCAGCAAAGAAGTTGGAACATGGAGCAGAGGCACAGTGCTTTCCTTGGACAGAGGTCAAGGACATGAACTTTTGCAGAGGCAAGAGTAAGATCATGTTGTTCCATGGGTCCTTCATTCTGACAGAGCGGACTCATCTTGCATGGTGCCAAAGACGAAGGGAGCTTCTAGGCACATGCACATTATCTCGGAGGAGCATTTGATGGAGGAACTAAGGCGACTCAATTTGCGGAGGCGAAGTTGGGTTCAGAAGGCCTTAGCACGGGGCAAGAGGACGCAGAGGCGGATGCTCTTGAAGAATATGTCACAGTGTTGCCATTCAAGTTGCCGTGAAGGAAGCGGTGCGCAGCGGAGATTGTGCTGGTAGGGGCAGAGGTCCAGGATCCAGGCAATGGTGTACCAATTGAAGCGAAGTCGAGGGACTTCGGGAGCTACTAGGCGACGGACTGTCCTAGAGCGGTGCTTCATCTAGGTGTGACCCAAGAGTGGGTGGATGAAGGTCGATTGCCAAAGGAGCGAACAAACTCGAAGGTGGAAGAGACCTGGCGATGTATTGGCAGAGGCCACACATGGAGGGTTCACAATTCGAGTTTATTCCACAAGGATCAGAATGCAATGGAAATGTCACCAGGAGGCGACATGGTGCAGCGGATCGTGGTGGAACAGTTCGTGGCAATGCGATACACACGATAGTGCCCCGTGAGGGACTAGATCATACGGAGGTATGATCGGGAGCTACTGGGAGCCCCACTTCAGTGAACAACACGACGGCAAGAAGGGCTATGGGTTCAAGGAGTGAAGGCCATGGTACCGCAGAGGCGGGTCTTCCGTGCGTGCATCGAATTTTGCAGCGGATGAAAACCTTGGTCATCAGCATATGGGGGTTGTGTTCCACCAAGGGAATAGTTCGAATGCAAGTACCAGTGAGTCCCATGGGAGGGACTTGATCATGCAGAGGTATGATCGAAGCAGCTAGAGAGTTGGACTGCTCCAGAGCTCATATTCGCTTAAGGGAGCCCGACAAGTCAGAGGACAAGGTCGAGTAAGCGAACGTTGCTACCAAGGAAGCTAAGGAGAACAAAATCGGTGCAAAACCTATAATGCGATGGTAGAGGCCATGCATGGGAGTGCAGTCTGTCTTTCCATCGACCAAAGGGAGCTGCTTGGAGAACACAGAGGTGTTGAAGCAGGGGGTCGAAAGGGGCAAGGAAGCGACGACGAGTCCAGAGGGACTTAGCTACCCAAAATCAAGCATCAGTCAGAATGGAGGTGGACTTAGAGGAGTGCCACGGAGACATGTCTACTGATCGTGAAGAAAAGGGATGCAGAGGCGAGGCGACGGATAGTAGGGCCATGGGCATGGCAGCGCCATTGTACCGCAGAGGCTTCCGTCAAAGTCATTGATCCCTTGCTCTCGTGGAGGGAGAGCGCTTGGTCGTGAAAGGGGCTGAGGAGGTGGAGCATGCAGAGGCAATCTCCAAGTATCGAGACAAGACGGAAGGGCAGAGGCCAATAAACTTCATAAGACCGGTGTCAACAAGTTTCTCATCAAGATAGTCGTAAGTGAAGGACTTCGGGTCATGCAAGAGTGCACGACCAAGGAACGAAGCAGGCAGTACGCGGTGCTGTACCTTTGCTACTCAGTGGAGTAGGCGGCAGGGTTGATGGAGAAGACGGTACAATCCCAGAGGCGACCTCATCTATCAGAGAATTTCTCTAAGTTGGGGTGAAAACTTCCT